TTTTGCATTCCGTCCTGGATTCCCCTAACCTTCTAAATATTTATATATAGTTAAATGAAATAAGTTTTATTCTTGAAAAGGTGTAGGATTACGGGTAGAAAGTGGAGAAGCCACTGATGGAACTCAAAAGGAAAGGAATCAATATAGAAATTTTCTTAAGTTTCTAATATCTGCTTAAAATAGAAATTTGTTGAAAGCTAACAGAGGGGAAAAAAATGGCCTAGATGATAGAGGCTCTGTTCATCTCTCTGGCAACCAAATCAAAGTTGTAACAGAAACAGGGAGCAAACAGCAAGGAACATCGCCTGGGATCTAGATGAATAAGCCATACAACTAGGGAGAGAATTAAGAAATCACCCTGCAACAGCAGAAGCTAGGATGGAGTGAGGAGGTGAGGCTGCCTAGTCCTCAGCAGCTGAGTGGGATGGAGGCTGCGGCAGCTGCAGACGCCTCTTAAAGGGGCCGTGTCCGCGAGCGGAGTTTTGCAGTGACAGACCTGCTCACTTTGAGCACCAGTGCCAGTTTGGCTGTGCAGGGGGCAACAGGGACTTACAGGGAGACAGTGAGTTGACCAAGTGAGGGCCAAGGCAAGACTCGCTGTGTACAGAAGTGCCAGTGGTATCCATTGTTCCCCCCTCCCAGTGTGCGACTCAGCGCCGACATAGCGGAAAGTCATCCAACTGGATAACAGAGGTCGTTCCACCCAGAGGATTCCCCGAAACTCAGCGTCCCCCCACTCGCAGCCCCACTCAAGCCACATCCAGGTGTATCCTCGGCGAATCAGGTGCTCCTTACTGAGAAGCACCTAAACTCACACTGGAGGCAACTGGCCTCAGTTTCTGGTGTGGCCTTTTGAGACAACTATAAGCACAGCATCTGTGGATTGTTTGCTGAATCTTAATAGGTGGCCCTGGAGGGGCACAGGCTTTGGCTAAATTTGGCCTGTAGCTGAACCTCTCTCAGGACTGTGCCACTGGACACCTACTACACAAAGCTGCACTAGTAAGACCAAGAGACTTGGGAGCTTTGCTTAGTACATAGAAACAGACTCAGAAAGGCAGCCAAAATGGGAAGACAAAGAAGCAGAAACAATATGAGAGAACAGAACAGATATCCAGAAATAATGGAGTCAAGTAATCTAACAGATGCAGAGTTCAAAACACTGGTTATAAACATGCTCAATGAACTTTTGGGAAGTGTAGATAAATTCAGTGAGAACTTTAACAAAGATAAGAAAACACACACACACATAAAAATGAAAATGGAAATTATAAAAGGGAACCAGTCAGAAATGAAGAACACATTATCTAAGATGAAGAGTACATTAAATGGAATAAATAAAGTGAATAAAAAAGAGGATCAAATGACCTATACAGAGGATGGGAAAGCCAAAGACACCCAATCAGAATGGCAAGCAAAAAGAAGCCAAGACTATAATCATAACTTAAGGAGCCTATGGGACACTATTAAAGGTAAAAATATCCATTTTGTGGGGGTACCTGAAGAGGGAGAACAAGAAGTTGAATATATATTTGAAGAAATAATGATGGAAAATTTCCCTCACCTGGTGAAGGAAATAGACATAAAACTGTGGGAAGCTCAGAGAATCCCAAAAACTAGAAACCCAAAGAGGCCCACACGAAGACACATCATAATAAAAATGCTAAAGGTTAAAGACAAAGTGAGAATCTTAAAAGTAGCAGTTAGTTACCTATAAGGGAGCACCCAGAAGACTGGCAGCTGATTTCTCAAAAGAAACTATGCAGGACAGAAGAGCTTGGCACAAAATATTCAATGTGATGAAAACCCAGGTAGCGAAGCTATCATTTAGAGTCGAAGGATAGATAAAGAGATTCCCAGACAAAAATAAGCTAAAGGAATTCGTCACCACAAAGCTGCTATTACAGGAAATGTTGCAAGGACTTCTTTAAGAAGAAAAACCATGCATCAAAATCATGAATAAAAAATGGTAATAACTACATATCTATCAACGAGTACTTCAAATGGAAAAAAAAAGCGCTCCAACAAAAGGACAGGGTAGCTGAATGGATAAGAAAACAAGACCCCTACATGTGCTACCTACAAGAGACTCACTTGAGATTGAAAGATACACACAGACTAAAAGGAAAGGGATGGAAAAAGATACTGCCTTGATGGACCTAGAGGGTATTGCACTGAATGAAATGCGTCAGATAGAAAAAGACAAATTTCGCGTGATTTCACATATACATGGACTCTAAAGAACAAAATAAACAACAACAACAACAAAAGTGGAATTAAACAAAACAGAGGATATTTTGAGGGCTATTGGATGGGAGTGGGATTAGGCGGGAAGGCAAAAAAAAAGACAAAGGTATTAAGAGGTACGAATAGTTGCAGTATAGACATGGAGATGTAGAGTGTAGCAAGAGGAAGATGGTTAGTAATATAATAAATTTGTAAGGGGGAAGAGGGGGTACTAGATTAAGTGAGATGATCACTTTGCAAGTTATGTGGATCTCTGGTCACTATGCTATATACAACTGAAACTGGTATATTATTGTATGCCAACTGTAAGCGAAAAATAAAACTCATTGAACTGTACAATGTAAATACAAGCAACAAATTGTCTATTATACTTCAATACAGACAAAACAAACAAACAAGAAAGCTAACATAATTTATTTATTTTTTAAATATATTGAAATCTTCACATACAGTAAAGGACATGGTAAAAATCAAAGAAATGTAGCTCTCTTTCACAATTAGACATGGATTTTTCTAGAATCTTCCAGTAACTTCATTCAATTTCCCTCTTTGAAAATGAGAAGTTTCTCATTCAGGAGACTAAGAATTTATGCTAGGTATATTGATAGTATTCTGCCATTCAAGGATAAAAATGTAATAACTATTTAGTTTTAATTGGAAGAAATAAGCTCTACCCATTTTTCACATAATTGTAAATTTTATATTTTCCCAGTTACATTCATAAAGCATTATAACCCTGATTACTACTCGCTCATACCACTAAAAAAATGATTTCTGTCTAGCAACCTGGGATCCTTGGGCATTTTAAAGTCCTTAAAGTATCCAAACAGTTACCAGTATATACCTTGACTTATTTTTAAGAACGTGGGAGAATTTACAGAGATTTGGTGGCCATTCACAAAAGATTATTTTGACTGTAATAACCATCCCCCCCAAAAGGGGGAGAAAAAACTCGTAAGGATTTAAAAAAAAAAAAAAAAGCAAATGTAAGATTATATAAATGCCATTGTAAGATTATATAAATGCCATTTCTTTACCAACATAATAACAAACTTCCAAGGATACAGTTTAATCTCCTGCTGTGATCATGCATTTTATTGAATTATCAGAAAAAGAGACATCAAGAATAAATTCACCAAGTCAGCCTTTGCAGGAGCAAACTGTGCCAAAGACCTCTTTGGTTTCTTTATGGAAACCAGAATTTATCCATGACTCATTCCTACTCAACACTTTACATGTAATGTTAATTCACAAGTTTACTCTCTTTCTTTGTAGTAAGCACTGAGAAGAAAGCCATGTTTGGGGCCATGAATGAGTATTTCTTCCAAATACTGTCAATAGTTTCTTCTTCCCCATTATTTAATTCAAATATGAAATATCTGAAAATATAAAAACTACAATTTCCTAGTTAAGTATTCAGAGACAGTTATATTCTTAAATATTGAAAACCCATCTTTAATAATTTCAAAAAGTTCTGAAGATACAATAAGATCACTTGTTTCTTTCCCCTCATGGTCTCTCAAGAATATCCAATAAGTTATTCAATAAATAAATCATTATGTTTTTGTACTGATGTAAGTTTGTACCAACCCTGCAATTTCCCAAAGGCTGCCTCAGACTCTAGCAGAAATAAGGCAGGAAGTGAACTCTTTCCAAGCTGGGCAGGAGACCAGAGCGGGAGGTAAGATTAGAAGCGAGGAATGGGATAAGGTCAAAGTCAAAATGATGCTTAAAAAAAACCTAAAGGTTTTCTCAGGGGTGGGTTAGGGAGATATGTAAGCAGTTTACTGAGACCACTGCCTCCATTAAGAGAGTCCAATGCTACGAAAGAAGGCGCTCAAAATAAGGTCACAGAGATCAATGTTCTTCCAGCCAAGCTCTGCAATAATTACCATATTGATTTGCAGCACATTAGCACAAAGAAATAGGTACAAAAATGAGGAACCAATAAAGTTTGATTTAAAAATTATCAAATTCTAAAAAAATATGAACAACTGTTGGAAAAGAGGCAAGAGGAAAACAACAAGTGGCTGCCCAAATACATCCCCTAGAAATCGATGCCTCATCAGTTCCCTCTCCCCACACTAAAAACCAGGAGTCTCCCTCGTATCAATACTGAGAATCATGGCCAAAGAATAAGCATGCACTATCAGCAGAACTGTCACACTCCTCAGAAACAGATCTTTTGAAGACTTTGGGGGTTCACATTATATGACAACTGACAAAGTCCAGGGAGACATAGCTGCCAAAAGACAGGTACAATAAGAAAGTCACAAAGCAGAGCTGGCTTTACTTGGAAGCACTTTGCCAGGCTTCACACCAATTCAGCTTGGCAGCAGTCTACTCCCTTGGTGGAAATGTGAAGAAACTTTGAGAAAGTATCCACTGAGAGATACATATCACTCCCATCTACAGCACTGGACGTCACCAGCAGAGATCTTAACCTAGAGCTAGGTCGAGATTTAATCATACAGTCTGCCTTTCAATCTCCTAACTCAGAAATGCAGGGCTTAACACAGTAATCTTTTTATCCTGACTTAAGGGAAGTAATTCTATTAAGAATTGAGCATGCCTGGGAATTTACCTGCTTTACTGTGAGTCTAAGAATTTGAGGCTGGATGGGTAATGCCACAGAATAAAGAGGAGCATCTTTGCAGAGTTGGTCCCCTGTTCGAGAGCATTC